AAATAATATTCAAGTACCAAGGAGCAACACCTGCAATAGACCAGCGCCCACGAAATTACCAACACATGCCATCTCGTTTGAGGCCTGGTGATCACTACCCCATACAACTGCCTCCTACTGCTTTCAAGAAAAGTGCTCAGATGAGGTGTTTTATATGTGGACATACCACAAAACGCCCACAAAAATGCAGACACTCGTTTTATGTGTGAGGAGTGTCAAGTGCCACTCTGCATATACCCATGTTTCAAAGAGTTCCACAAGCTGCAGCAGTTCTAGGAAAGTGTTCAGTGACTGTATATATGTATATATATTATGGAACAATAGTAATAAACAATGTTTTGTACTGTTTGTTTGTGTAAACAAGTTTTATACACAATCTAATAGTAATAATGTTTGTTCAGTTATTGTGTTGTAAACAATGAGTGTATATTTGAACAATGCACCTTACTTTAGTCTCACAGGCCACATAAGTTACTTAAAAAAGAAAAATATTGGAAAATACAAGAAGCCTTCGAATTGGAGTAAATAAAAGAATACCGGGTGAGCAGCATTCACCGCTGTTGCCATACGCCGCTCATTTTCTGCCAACTTTGCGCCACTGTAGCTTGGTAAGTACTGATGGCAAAAAAAAAATTTATAGGCTTAAAATGCTCAGTAAAATAATCCTAACATTTTGGTAAGAAAAAATAATTTTTTTTTTTTAATATTTTGCGACATAGAATGACAGTTTCAGAAATGGGCTTGTGACAGTCAAAGGGTTAAGGAACCTCCCTTGAGGGGGAAGTATGCATTCTGAAATTTCGTTCTTATTCAGAAGCAAAAAATCTACCGAACGACGGTTCGTATCCTGAAAAGTTCACATGACGGGATGTTCATAAGCTGAGGTTCCACTATATAAGAGGGGCCTGGAGATGGGAGTAATGAACAGAGAAAATATTATTTTAGTGCCAGGAATGTCTGCATTGTTTATTCTGGACCCTATTTTGAAATTGGCCTTTCTTGAATTTTGTGTGAAAATGGCTAAATTAGTAATTTCTGATTACTTTTTTGTGTCGTTAAAATAGGTAAATGGGCAGTTTCTTGTACTCAGTCGATGGAATAAGAGGAGTTCTAGTGAAAAAGCTATGAGTTTGGTTGAGTGGCACAAAGGAATTGGCCCAAAATAGGGCTTGACCCTCTCACTGTCGACATCCCCCATCACAAACCTGGTCTCAGTGTCGAAAAATATTCGAAAAAAGAAAACAATTATTTTTCTTACCAAAATCTTAAGAATAATTTTTTGATTGTTTTAAAAGAAAAACAATTTGCGATCAGTACTTGCCGAGATATAGAGGCACGAAGTTGACAAGGTGAACTGCTTATGGCAATTTCAGCAACTGCCGCTCACTCGGTAATGTTATACGTGTATTTACTTTTATTCTACTTTTTTCTTTTATTTTTTAATATTTTATTTTTTAAAGTAACTTTCATCTCCTGTGAGACCAATATAAGGCATAATGTATATGTATATATATTCACTCATTGTATGCAACACAATAACCTCACAAATATTATAATTGTTTACAAAATGTGTTTACACATACCAACAATAAAAAAAGTTGTTCATTACTATTGTTCTATAATATATATATATATACACATATAGAGTCACTGGATATGTTCCTAGAAGGGCTGCAGCTTGCGGAACTCTTTGAAACATGATGTTAAGCATAGTGGTGTTTACATTCCGCACATGTAAAATGAGTGTCTCGGTGTGTTGGTGGGATTTTTTTTGTATGTGCACAGACAAAACACCTGAGCAGATTTCTTGTTAGTAGGAGGTAGTTTTATTAGATAGTGATCACCAGGCCTCAGAGGAGAGGGTATTTGTTGATAATTTTATTGGCGGTGTTCTATAGTAGGTGTTGTTACTTGGTACTTGAATATTACTTGTCTGATGCCTGACAAAATTCACCATATGGTGGTTTGTTTCTGGCCTTCAGCTTGTACATATTCTAAGCATTGAGCATGGAAATGTCCAGAAGATGGAAAAAGAGTTTTATGTACCACTTATAACTCTTGCGAATGCAATCAGCAAACCCAATTTGCATGTCATATTTGTCCACTGAGCGCATATTGAGGGTGTAGTCCATTGCAGCTGCAGGTTTTAGAATGGGTTCGTTGGTCTCTATTCTGCTTGCCACTGTCGGTCATTTCATTTCAGTGAATTGATGTCAGCAATGTGACATCTCGTTTGTCATGCCACCGAAATGCCATGTCATTGGCAGCAAACACCTGCACCACACCTTTGTGAGTGCCTGCATCGAACCTGGGCATACGCTTACAATTTGCACACACTGTGCCACACATCTGTCATGTTCATTCGCAAGAAATCACTGAGTAAGGGGCTTGCGTACCAGTTTTCAGTATGTAATATATGCCCCTTACCAAGTTATGGTTCCATCATTGTTCTGACCACATCACCAGAGATACCCAATAACTTCCTGGTACCTTGCAATGTATTACTTCCAGTGTATGCAATTATATCCAATACAAAGGAGGATGACAACATTGATCTCATGTATTAGAAATCTTCCCTATGAGGATAGACTGAGGCCCCTGAATCTGCACTCTAGAAAGGCATAGAATTAGTGGGGATGTGATTGAGGTGTATAAATGAAAAACGGGAATAAATAGAGGGGATGTAAATAGCGTGCTAAAAATATCTAGCCTAGACAGGACTCATGCTTGACTAGGTGTGGGTTCCAAACTGGTGCTGCATACTCCAGTATGGGCCTGATGTACACAGTGTACAGTGTCTTAAACGATTGCCAGGCACCCATATGCTGCAACAGTTATTTGGTTGATGTGTGCTTCTGGAGATGTGCTCGACATTATACTCACCCCGAGATCTTTGTCCTTGAACGAGGTTTGCAGTCTTTGGTCACCTAGCCCATACACTGTCTGCAGTCTTCTTTGCCCTTCCCCGATCTTCATGACTGCATTTGGCAGGGTTAAATTTGAGTAGCCAGTTGCTGGACTGCATGTCCAGCCTGTCCAGGTCACTTTGTAGACCTGCCTGTAGTCCGGTAGTCATGTGTGTGTGTGTGTGTGTGTGTGTGTGTGTGTGTGTGTGTGTGTGTGTGTGTGTGTGTTGTGTGTGTGTGTTGTGTGTGTGTGTGTGTTTGTGTGTTGTGTTTGTGTTGTGTGTGTGTTGTGTTGTGTGTGTGTGTGTGTGTGTGTGTGTGTGTGTGTGTGTGTGTGTGTGTGTGTTTTGTGTGTGTGGTGTGTTTTTGTGTGTGTTTGTTTTAGGAGTGAGTTTAGACAAATGGTTTTTATGACAAGCTGTTGGAGTGTGAGCAAAGTAGCATTTATGAAAGGATTCAGGGAAACAAGCAAGTGAGACTTGAGTCCTGGAGGTGGGAGGTACAGTGTCTGCACTCTGAAGAAAGGGTGTTGCTGTTGCAGTTTTTTAACCTTTTCAGGGTTTCCGATGTACTAGTACAGCTAACGCACCAGGTTTTTTTGACATACTAGTACGCCAAAATTCTAGCGCCCTCAAATCTAGTGAGAGAAAGCTGGTAGGCCTACATGTGAAAGAATGGGTCTATGTGGTCAGTGTGCGCAATATAAAAAAAAATCCTGCACCACAGTGCGTAATGAGAAAAGAAAACTTTGACAGTGTTTTTGGTTTAAAACAGCGACTTTGCACTGTATTTTCGTATGGTATTTATGATGGTTTTCTAGTTTTCCTGGTCTCATTTTATAGAATGGAAGACATACTACAGAAATTGAGACGATTTTGATTGGTTTTACAATGAAAAGTACACGTACTTTGAAACTGAGCTCAAAGTAGCAGAAATCTTCGATTTTTGCCAAAGTTCAAAAGTAAACAAATCATGCCAAGCGTCCAATACACGTCAACTGGTGAGTCTAATATTCTTTCACAAGTGCGCTGATATTATTTATACCATTCCTACACTAATGCAGTAGTCTGCATAACAGTAAATCTTCTATTTTTTGTAAGAATAAAAATTCAAAGTGGAAAGCAAAAGACTGTAAGAGGGGTCTGGGGACATGACTAATGAACAGAGGAAATGTTATTTTAGTGCCAGGAATGTCTTTCTTGTTTATTCTGGACCCTATTTGGAAATTGGCATCTTTTGAAATTTGTGTGAAATTGGCAAAATTGCTAAATTCTGACCACTTTATTGGATAGTTGAAATTGGTAAATGGGTGGTTTCTTGTACTCATTTGTTAGAAAAAATGTAGTTCTAGCGAAATAGTTATGATTTTTGTCGGCTAGTACACTGGAATTGGCCGAGAATAGGGCTCAAAGTGGGCAAAATCGCCATTGCGTAAACATCATTGAGACTGCTAACTTTGCAAGAGCATAATTCCATAAGTTTTCCATCAAATTTCATACTTTTGGTGTCATTATGATTGGGAAAAGATTCTCTATCTTTTCATAAAAATATTTTTTTTTTTTTTAAAGTTTGGCAACCCTGAGAACAAGTCTTGGAGAGGGCCTGGCAGCCCTGAAAGGGTTAACTGTAGTGTAGGCACGCCTCTGACAAGACAGTGATGTAGTGAATGTTGATGATGAAAGTGTTTCTTCATTTTTGGGTCACCCTATTTTGGTGGGAAATGGCTGATGTTTTAATAAAAAAAGAAAAATATGAAGTGGAGCATGTAACCTAATAGGTAAAATAAATTTGGTTAAAATCTAGGAATAGGTAGAGAAAACGAGTTGGAAATAGTCATATTTAGTGAAAAAAAAAATGGGAGTGCTCTCTGTAACAGTATGTGTTGGATGGAAGGCATGGTTGTTTACCTTGTGGGTCATGGAACCCTGTGCAGAAATGATTTTGTTTATACTTCAAAACTATTCATTATGGTTACAGAGCTTATTACACTTTTTCTGATTTTTTGATTTGGTCCCTTTTTTTTCTTCATCATTCCCTTATGCTTAGTGGATATACTGTACTTTCATACAGAATCAGTGTGTTGTTACATTGCAGGTACCCCAGTTGGAGGATATGTACCCCAAGGAACACCAAATTATGGTACCCCTGGCTCCCCTTTGGTCTCTACCTCACAGTCAATATACACTGGTTCCATCTTCACTCCATCTAGAGATCATTCCAGCTTTCTTGCCCAAGATTCATTGCAATTGTAAGTATAATAGTAAGAAGGCAAATGACTGCTGACAACTTGAGAGAAATGGACACAAGTACATTCACTAAGATTTGTATTGAAAATGTTTTGAGAGTTTGACCGTGATCACTTCAAATGCAGTTTGAAGTGATAAACTTCCAAGGACCAAAATTTTTCCAGTAAACGTATCTTAGGTGTATGAATATGTGTCCATTTCTCTCAAGGGTAAGTATTGTTTCTTTTTTTTATTATTTTTTTTTTTATCACACCGGCCGATTCCCACCAAGGCAGGGTGGCCCGAAAAAGAAAAACTTTCACCATCATTCACTCCATCACTGTCTTGCCAGAAGGGTGCTTTACACTACAGATTTTAAACTGCAACATTAACACCCCTCCTTCAGAGTGCAGGCACTGTACTTCCCATCTCCAGGACTCAAGTCCGGCCTGCCGGTTTCCCTGAATCCCTTCATAAATGTTACTTTGCTCACACTCCAACAGCACGTCATGTATTAAAAACCATTTGTCTCCATTCACTCCTATCAAACACGCTCACGCATGCCTGCTGGAAGTCCAAGCCCCTCGCACACAAAACCTCCTTTACCCCCCCTCCAACCCTTCCTAGGCCGACCCCTACCCCGCCTTCCTTCCACTACAGACTGATACACTCTTGAAGTCATTCTGTTTCGCTCCATTCTCTCTACATGTCCGAACCACCTCAACAACCCTTCCTCAGCCCTCTGGACAACAGTTTTGGTAATCCCGCATCTCCTCCTAACTTCCAAACTACGAATTCTCTGCATTATATTCACACCACACATTGCCCTCAGACATGACATCTCCACTGCCTCCAGCCTTCTCCTCGCTGCAACATTCATCACCCACGCTTCACACCCATATAAGAGCGTTGGTAAAACTATACTCTCATACATTCCCCTCTTTGCCTCCAAGGACAAAGTTCTTTGTCTCCACAGACTCCTAAGTGCACCACTCACTCTTTTTCCCTCATCAATTCTATGATTCACCTCATCTTTCATAGACCCATCCGCTGACACGTCCACTCCCAAATATCTGAATACGTTCACCTCCTCCATACTCTCTCCCTCCAATCTGATATTCAATCTTTCATCACCTAATCTTTTTGTTATCCTCATAACCTTACTCTTTCCTGTATTCACCTTTAATTTTCTTCTTTTGCACACCCTACCAAATTCATCCACCAATCTCTGCAACTTCTCTTCAGAATCTCCCAAGAGCACAGTGTCATCAGCAAAGAGCAGCTGTGACAACTCCCACTTTGTGTGTGATTCTTTATCTTTTAACTCCACGCCTCTTGCCAAGACCCTCGCATTTACTTCTCTTACAACCCCATCTATAAATATATTAACAACCACGGTGACATCACACATCCTTGTCTAAGGCCTACTTTTACTGGGAAAAAATTTCCCTCTTTCCTACATACTCTAACTTGAGCCTCACTATCCTCGTAAAAACTCTTCACTGCTTTCAGTAACCTACCTCCTACACCATACACTTGCAACATCTGCCACATTGCCCCCCTATCCACCCTGTCATACGCCTTTTCCAAATCCATAAATGCCACAAAGACCTCTTTAGCCTTATCTAAATACTGTTCACTTATATGTTTCACTGTAAACACCTGGTCCACACACCCCCTACCTTTCCTAAAGCCTCCTTGTTCATCTGCTATCCTATTCTCCGTCTTACTCTTAATTCTTTCAATTATAACTCTACCATACACTTTACCAGGTACACTCAACAGACTTATCCCCTATAATTTTTGCACTCTCTTTTATCCCCTTTGCCTTTATACAAAGGAACTATGCATGCTCTCTGCCAATCCCTAGGTACCTTACCCTCTTCCATACATTTATTAAATAATTGCACCAACCACTCCAAAACTATATCCCCACCTGCTTTTAACATTTCTATCTTTATCCCATCAATCCCGGCTGCCTTACCCCCTTTCATTTTACCTACTGCCTCACGAACTTCCCCCACACTCACAACTGGCTCTTCCTCACTCCTACAAGATGTTATTCCTCCTTGCCCTATACACGAGATCACAGCTTCCCTATCTTCATCAACATTTAACAATTCCTCAAAATATTCCTTCCATCTTCCCAATACCTCTAACTCTCCATTTAATAACTCTCCTCTCCTATTTTTAACTGACAAATCCATTTGTTCTCTAGGCTTTCTTAACTTGTTAATCTCACTCCAAAACTTTTCTTATTTTCAACAAAATTTGTTGATAACATCTCACCCACTCTCTCATTTGCTCTCTTTTTACATTGCTTCACCACTCTCTTAACTTCTCTCTTTTTCTCCATATACTCTTCCCTCCTTGCATCACTTCTACTTTGTAAAAACTTCTCATATGCTAACTTTTTCTCCCTTACTACTATCTTTACATCATCATTCCACCAATCGCTCCTCTTCCCTCCTGCACCCACTTTCCTGTAACCACAAACTTCTGCTGAACACTCTAACACTACATTTTTAAACCTACCCCATACCTCTTCGACCCCATTGCCTATGCTCTCATTAGCCCATCTATCCTCCAATAGCTGTTTATATCTTACCCTAACTGCCTCCTCTTTTAGTTTATAAACCTTCACCTCTCTCTTCCCTGATGCTTCTATTCTCCTTGTATCCCATCTACCTTTTACTCTCAGTGTAGCTACAACTAGAAAGTGATCTGATATATCTGTGGCCCCTCTATAAACATGTACATCCTGAAGTCTACTCAACAGTCTTTTATCTACCAATACATAATCCAACAAACTACTGTCATTTCGCCCTACATCATATCGTGTATACTTATTTATCCTCTTTTTCTTAAAATATGTATTACCTATAACTAAACCCCTTTCTATACAAAGTTCAATCAAAGGGCTCCCATTATCATTTACACCTGGCACCCCAAACTTACCTACCACACCCTCTCTAAAAGTTTCTCCTACTTTAGCATTCAAGTCCCCTACCACAATTACTCTCTCACTTGGTTCAAAGGCTCCTATACATTCACTTAACATCTCCCAAAATCTCTCTCTCTCCTCTGCATTCCTCTCTTCTCCAGGTGCATACACGCTTATTATGACCCACTTCTCGCATCCAACCATTTACTTTAATCCACATAATTCTTGAATTTACACATTCATATTCTCTTTTCTCCTTCCATAACTGATCATTTAACATTACTGCTACCCCTTCCTTTGCTCTAACTCTCTCAGATACTCCAGATTTAATCCCATTTATTTCCCCCCACTGAAACTCTCCTACCCCCTTCAGCTTTGTTTCGCTTAGGGCCAGGACATCCAACTTCTTTTCATTCATAACATCAGCAATCATCTGTTTCTTGTCATCCGCACTACATCCACGCACATTTAAGCAACCCAGTTTTATAAAGTTTTTCTTCTTCTCTTTTTTAGTAATTGTATACAGGAGAAGGGGTTACTAGCCCATTGCTCCCGGCATTTTAGTCGCCTCATACGACACGCATGGCTTACGGAGGAAAGATTCTTTTCCACTTCCCCATGGACAATAGAAGAAATAAAAAAGAACAAGAGCTATTTAGAAAAAGGAGAAAAACCTAGATGTATGTATATATATATATATGCATGTGCGTGTCTGTGAAGTGTGACCAAAGTGTAAGTAGGAGTAGCAAGATATCCCTGTTATCTTAGCGTGTTTATGAGACAGAAAAAGAAACCAGCAATCCTACCATCATGCAAAACAGTTACAGGTTTTTGTTTCACAGTCATCTGGCAGGACGGTAGTACTTCCCTGGGTGGTTGCTGTCTACCAACCTACTACTATTGTTTCTTATTTACTGTAAAAGATGTTCTGCAACCCTAACCACTAAAATTGGAAAAAGGCAAGCAGACATATTATGACAAGAAATTTAAAGAGACAAAGTCTAACTTACCAAGCACTGGTTGAACTGTAACTCAAATTCTTATAAACAAAATTGAATATGAAACAATGCACTAGTTACAGAAAAAAATTGTTTGCTCCTTTAAGTTGTATGTGCTAACCTAGACAAGAATATCATACCAAATGTTGGTTTATTAGGTTCCAGACCTACTGACTGCAGGAGGGTCATTTTAGGTTACGTATCATGCTGATGGCCAAAATCATACACATTCTCAGATATAGATAATCAGATGTATGTAAGTTGCATTTTTTTTTTTTTTTACTCTGATTATCTCCCACCAAGGTAAGGTAACCCAAAGAAGGAAATGTTACCATTGTCCATTCAATAGCTGTTTTACCCAAAGTGTGCAGACATCAAAATTCAAATGATTAACCGAGCTGCAGCTGCCCCACTCCTCCTTCGGAGTGCAGGTGCTGTTCTTCACACCTTCAGGACTCAGTGTGACTAGCATGTTTCTTTGAATCCCTTCATAAAATGTTTGCTTGTTCTCACCCCAGCAGCATATCAGTTATAAAAATTCACTTGTTTCCACTCTGATCCAACAGGCTCACACATGCCTGTTAGATGCTCAGGACCATAGTACTTAAAACCTCCCTCCAACTCTTCCTGGGGCAGTCCCCTACCCCTCTTTTCTTTCACCCTGGGTTTACATATCCTTTTCTGCTACATCCTCTCCGAGGGTCAGGCCACCTCTGCAGCTGCTTCTCTGCCCTTTGAATTATGGCTTTTGCAACCCTATATTGTCTGTTTATTTCTACACACAAAATTTTTGTTTTATCACACCACATTACTCTCAAACAGGACATTTCCAGTTCCTCCAGCCTCGTCCTCACTGCAGCATTTAAAGCCCATGCTTCACACTAGTAAAGAAGGGGTTGATACTACTATACTCTGGTATATTTCACTTTGTTCCCTTCCACTGATAAACTTCTTACCTGGTTGCTCCACCTGCTTTTTTTTTTCTCCATCTTTTCTGTGGTTCACCATCTTTTAGATCCATCAATCAATATGTCTGCTTCCAAATATCTTAATACATTTACTTCCTTCAATCTGATTTTCA